AGGGACAGGCTCCAGGGTCCCAGACTTTGTTCCTTCTCTTAAGATATACTTAACATCCCACAACCTTCATGTTATTCCATGGCTGCTTATACCTGAACAGAATAGCCAAATTCAAGGTTAAAAATGCAGTTGGCTTTCCAATCTCCTTAATGTTTTGAAGGCCAAGCATCAGGATGCAAGTTTGTCTCACGTGGATGTATGTAGACCACTTCGTATCTTTCCAAAGTCATCCTTTAAAATCATGAGAAGCTGAAAATGTTCAGTGATAACTCTATGAAAATATAACTGAAAAAAGAAACGACCTCTAACACATTATGGGAAATGGATTGTATTATTAAGTGCCTCACTTTTGAAGGGAAACATGATGCTTTGTAAATTTCTCTAGGCTCTGTTTCTGTTAAAAACTGATTTCTTTCCACTTGTTTTCAAACTGGTAATTCCTGGCTCCATAATAATTTCTCCAAGAGGCAATGAACATATTTTCTAATCTGGATTCACTTTCTTCATCCTTATGTTTCATTAAAACAAGTGTAATATACCAGTCCTAGGGGTAGAGGTATTTGTAGTGGAACAAAACCTTCTCCCACCTCAAAGGGCAGTGAAGACTGCAGTGGTGGCTGGGACTCAGGTACAAAGCAAGGCATGTGAAATGCTTTAGCAAGAGGTAGTGTCACTCATCTGCATTTCTTCATGGCTGGAAAACATGATCACAGCCGACTTTAAGCTCAACCATTGCAGGGTTGCTTTTGTTCTTAAACTCTCTTTTCCATTTTTCTCACCTAACGAGATTTAAAATATCCAACTCACTGGGTCATAGTTAGAATTAAGAGAGAGAATGTACGTAAAAGCACTTTGTAATCTGTAACTCAAATCTAAAGTATGGAGAGGATAAGAGTTTTCCATGATGCCTAAGGTGTTTGGAAGTTTTTGTTTGATTTTGTTAAAAGTTTTAACCTCAGATGATCATAGTTTTCAAAATTATATACCTGGTCTTCTTGGATAAGTTTAATGTCAATAATTCAGCTCATATTTTTATTGCTGGAATGTATTTGTACAATAACTCAGTAAGAAATGCTAGTTAATGATGGGAAGAAAACAGATTTCTTAATCTAC